TGAAACAATAATAATAAATAATAATAAAATATGATTAAATTAATTTTTTGACAAGATATTGTACTTTACTCGTTGTACCTTAGTATTGGTCATTGAACTATATGATAACTGGAATGCTCACCCACCATAAGACCAATGTAAACATAACCGAGATAGCCTGTTAGAAAAAGACAGCAGATAAGAATGGTGTTGCTATCTCTTTTTATCACACTTATCAATATGATTGTTTATCAATTAATAATAATAATATCGTTGTTTTGTTCTTTGTTTTAAGCCCCGTTCACACGATCAAATAATTTATCAAATATTTGACRTACGTCAAACTTCAAATATTTGTTTGAAAAATGGTTCACAGTTTCACACCATCAAATATTATATCAAAATTATTATAGTTAAAACTCGTACGCGATTGGTCAAATTTAACAGCTGTTTAAGCCACGGAAATTTAAATTCTCTTATAACATAAGCATTCAGCACTGTCATCCTTATTTTTACCAGCATTCATCCGCTGTTKAAGTTTTGTCTTTTGTATGTTCTAACTGTTCTAAGTAGGTACTTTGAAAGTACTTTAATTTTTTTATTAAATTAGTACCACAGCATATTTGATATGAGCTACTATCGTGATAAGTTAATACAGCTTTATAAATTAAGGCTGCTTCGGAAATTATACAAAAAGAAACTTTTATTTAATTACTTTAACTTTTCATGTAGTTTGCATATAAGTATTTTACAAGGCTGGGCATATAAAAAAATAATAGTTCTTTGGCCAAACAATTTAAGGTACCTATTATTTTAAATTTACCTGTATTAAAATTAAAAACACACTTTTTTTAAACTAAGTACCTAACTTGAGTTAAAAAGTTAATATTAATTTTTGGTTATCTTTTAACTTAGGTAGTTCAATTGATAGAAAATTTTTTTTTAACTTTTAATATAGTTTTAACTATTAATTTAATTTTAAATTTAACTTAACTCAAATCAATTAAAATATATACCATTGACTTGCCCAGCCTTGGGTATTGATAATATGGTATAATATATATAATTTATGACTTATTTCAAGTTATTTGTTGACATTTTAGGCGAACCATATAGTGTAGAGAATGGTTAAGTAGGAGAGATACCTATAGCTGTGCTGGTACTTAGAATATGCTCGAGAATGAACTTTTAACTGAAGATGAAAAAAGCTAAACTAACTTTTTACGAATGAATCAAACTGTATTTAACAAACTATTAGAGAAAGTTGGACCAAGCATTGCCAAGCAAGATACTGTTATGAGGAAATCATTTAGTGCTAAAAAAAGGTAAATATAGGTTTATATAATTAGAAAACTATATAATATTATGTATTAGCTTATTACAACTTTTTTATTTAGATTATCACTTACACTACGATATTTGGCTACTGGAGMAAGTCATGTAAGTCTCTCTTATTCTACTAGAATAGCAAAAAACACAATTGGTGGCATTGTTATTGAAACTGTAAATGCAATTATATCTTGTTTAATGAAAGATTATTTAAAGGTAAGTGTTAAGTATTCTATAATAATTATTGAACAAAAGTTAAATTTCAAWTTTTTATGAATTTATTTTATTTCAATTATGTTAAAGCTTATTGTTAAGCTTTCGATTTACAATTCATTATCTGTTTGAAGACAGGATAAAAATTAATTTAAAATTATATTTTTGAACATTAAAAAAAAAAATATATATTCATTTACAACAGATTCCAGATACCCAAGAAGAATGGGAGAAAATAGCAGCAGATTTTTATGAAATTTGGTGGTTTCTAAACTGTTTAGGAACGATGGATGGGAAACATATTACATTTAGACCAAGACGAGCAGATGGTGCATTTTATCATAATTATAAAGGAACTGATAGTATTGTTCTTTTAGGTGTTTGCGATGCTAAATATAGGTGATAATTATATAATTATCTAAACAATATTATAATGAACTATAACAGTTATTTATRTATATTTTAGATTTATATGTGTAGATATTGGTCAAACAGGCAGAATGAATTATGGTGGGGTATACAATAATAGCAATTTAAGTAATGCTATTAAGACAAATGCACTTAATTTCCCAGATGACATAACATTTCCAAATTCTAAAAGTAAAATTGTTATTTCTCATGTTTTTATCGCAGATGCAGATGCAATTGCATTGAGCGAAAGGCTTATGAAACCTTTTYGAAATAGACTACTCACAAAAGAAGAGTTGATTTACAATTATAGAGTTAGTCGAGCTCGTAGAGTAATTGAAAATGCATTTGGAATTTTGGCTAACCGGTAACTACAATTAAATATCTTTTTTTACATTTATGTTCTCTATAAATGTATTACTCTAAAATCCAAAATAATATAACTATTTATACAGGTTTCRAATTTTGTTAAATACAATGAACYGTTGTGTCAATAAAGTAGAAAAAATAACACAGTGTTGTATTATTTTACACAATTTTTTTTTGACCGAAAATAATTTGTTATACATCAATAATGAAGTGGATAAGATTGATGACATTGGTAATATAATTGAAGGCTCTTGGCGTTCAGAAGAATTTCAATTTACTTCATTAACTCAACAAAGTGGTAACCGTACATTGGTGATTTCTAATAACATTAGAAATGAGTACATGCGTTTTTTCAATAACGAAGGAGCTGTGGATTGGCAAAACAAAGCTATACAAAAAGGCAATATACTCGTATAAGTTAAAACATAAAATACAATGTGCAATGATAACAATTTTTATATTCTATTATAAAAGTAACATTTTTTATAAATAAAATGGCTCTAAAAAATTAACATTTTTAAATTTTATTAATAATGAGTTTATTCATTAGTTTTATAAACTTCAGCCTTGTCTTCAGGACTTACAAGTAACAATAGTTAGTTCTTATTGGTAAACATTTTTATCTTAAATGACTCATTTCATAAATACTAAAAAGTTCAGCCTTGTCTTTAGGA